TAGCCAGTGGGACTGACTCACGTGACCCATTCTGAGGAAGGCTGTCCCGAGGAGACTGTTATCAGAGGGAAGTGGTCACCCGGGAATTGGAGCCAGGGGGTGGCAGACAGGCTCCTGGGCCCTCCCTCCCTGGGAGCCTGGCCAGCCTGGTCCTGATGCGCTCCGCGGGGTCTCCGCCCAGGCCCAGGCCTCAGTTCCCACCAAAAGCAGTTTCTGAACCCCCCCATTGTCCCACCCTAAACTCCAGGCTCAGCATCCAGCCCCTCCCCAAACACCTCCCTGGCTACGCATGGCGCCTGCAGCCCCGGCCCCTGGGCGCCAAGGTGCTGTTTCCCTCCAGCACTCCGTCTCCCACCTGCACCCCTGAGCACCCTGGAGACCTGGCTGGCTCTCTCCCCTGCCCCCGCTCCTGCCCCATCAGCCTGCTGGCCCGGCCTCTGGAAGGCCTCCAAGCCCACCTCCCCCAGGCCCCCACAGGCCCTGCTGCTCTCCGGCCCACGCCCCTCACTTGTCCTCTGCTCCCAGACCTGACCGAGGTGTGACCGCAGCGTCTTCCTCCTGTGCCCGTGTATGGTCATGTGTGTGTGCCACGTGTGGGTGTGTCTGTGAGTGTGCACATGCTTGGGTACGGCTGTGCCTGGGTGTCTCTGCCTGTGTCCATGTGTAGTGCCTGTGTCTGTGTGCATGTGTGTGTCCTTGTATGTCTGCATGTGTCTCCGTGCCTGCGTGTGTCTCTGAGTGTTTATGTGTGTGAGAAGCACGCTCACCTGTGCAAACCCTGTGACTAAGAGGGAAAACCCAGGCTTCTCTCTGTTGACGGTCTTGTGAGACGGTGCTGGGAGCAGGCACACCCAGAGCACTCACAGCCAGCATTTCACCCCCCAGAGTGCAAGGTCCCGCCCCCCACCCCGCTCACCCTTGGCTGAGGACTGTGGGGAGCTCCGTCTTCCCAACGGCACCAGGTTTCACTGTCTGCTGTTGGGCTGTTAAAGAAATGTCCCCTTAGGGCTGGGGCTGGGGCTCAGTGGTGGAGCGCTTGCCTGGCACACGTGAGGCACTGGGGCACCACATATAAATAAATAAATAAAATCAAAGGTCCATCGACCACTAAAAGATGTTTTAAAAAGGAAAGAAATGTCCCTTTAGTTGTCCCCACCTCCCTCTGCTCTCTGTGGCAGGGGAGTCCCCTTGGGTGGAGTGCATTTTGGCACGTATGCAGTTATCTCTGTTGGTCGGGGCCCCTCCCTCAGCTGTCTGTCAAGGGGCTGGGAATCTTTACCCTCCATGTTACCTGCCTGTAATGTCCATCCTGCCCTCCCACCACCCCTGTCCTTCACCCCCAGCCATTTTACATTGGAGCCAAATGCTGTGTTCTGAAAATGGACCACCAGACTTTCTAGTCCTCACTCATGTCAGTGTGCATGTGTATCTGTGCGTGTGGGAGTGTTATGTGTGCATGTGTGTGCCGCGTATCTGTGGCCCGTGGGCTGGCCAGCCTCCAGAATAGCCCCTACTATGCGCTTCTTAGCTTCCTGAGTGACTGGCCACGACCACCAAGCCCCAGAGCCCTCCATGACCCCGAGCCCCTGCCGTGCTGCTCCTCAGCTCAGGGCGTGTCCACCCCCAGGGGTCGAGGGGTCATGCCAGAGTTCTGGAGTCCATTCTTTGGAGGTCTTCTGGACCTCTCTAAAGTGGGCCCTCTTGCTTGGCTCTTCAGACTCACCACTGGGAAGCAGAGGGGCATCTGTGGTTGTGGAATTCGCCTGGACGGCACTGCCCCCCAGAAGTTTCCTGCCTTCGCTTCAGGAGGATTCTGGCTGGTGTGTCAGCCATGCTGCCCATGAGGTCACTTGTGCCCAGTCTAGGGCCAGAGCAGTGCACCGCCCGGGTCACTGGGCCAGTGAGGAACGTGCCGACGGACGCAGCTGCAGACAGCCTGCGCCCCCACACGCAGCGCAGGTGTGAGCGTGTGTGCGCCTGTGAGCATGGGCGTGAGCTCCCTGCACTACCGCGCAGCGTTTCACGGACGAGGAGACAGAGGGCCTTGGGTGGCAATGGCTGAGTCCCGGGACTCTTCCCAGGCCCTCTGTCCCCAGCCCTGGTGGGCCAACAGCATTAGAGGGCCCCGTGTGGCCACAGCATCTCAGGCCTTGGGTTGTCCTTTGCCATGGAAAGGGGGAGGACGGGCTCCCGGCTCTCGCTGCCGGTCCCACCCTGGGGCTTCTTGCTTTCAGCCACTCAGTGGGCCACTTGCTCGCACTTTGGTTTGGGTGACGTTTCCTGACTTGATCGTAATAGCTGTCCTCAAATATTGTGGGTATTGGGTGGGAAGCCATCCTGACATGTGACTGGGTGACTCCCAGTTTGGGTCTGAGGCTTCCGGCTGTGTCGGAACTTTCCCGGCCCTCTCCTGATGAGAGAACCCGTCCGTGTGGGGGTGTGACTGACCACTGACCCCGGGGGCCCAATCACTGACCCTGACCTTGGAGTGCAGTCCCCCCTCAACCTTCATTGGATGGAATTCTCCCCTGAATTTCTTGTTCCCCAATAAAAGGCAACTCCCTGGCGTGTTCACTCTCTCTCTCTCCTGCTAGCCCTGAGTAATCCTTGCTGCCCTGCTGGGCGGTTAGAGGTTGGAGCCAGAGAGGGGAGCCATCTCGGACCTGGCAATAGAAATAAGGTAACTGAGTCTGTGTGTTTTATTTCGATCTCTTCTAGCTAACTTTATGCCAAGAACCTCATTAATGAAACCATTGCGCAGGCCGCATGGTGGAGTATTGGGTGGCTCTGAGGGTGCTGAGGTCAAGAGGGACGGGCACAGGCTCTGTCTGACGTGAGCAGAGAGGAGCCTGGGGTGTGGGACGGGGTGGAGGAGGAGGCGCAGCTGGACAGGTGGCCCTGGGGAGGCTGCAGGAGGCTGTGGAGAGAGATGAGTGATGGCCAGGGGCTCTGCATCCTCCTGGGCAGCACCGGTGTCTCCCAGCTCTGGATGAAGTTCCAGGGCCCAGGGGTGACTGGCCTGGCTTCTGTCCTTGGACCACCCACCACAGGGGCTGTGGGCGCTGGGCTGGCCTGCAGACCAGCTTGGGCTGCCACGAGGGAGTCATCAGGGGAAATGGACAAGCATGGCAGACGGGGTGGGGGAGGCTGGATGGGGAGGCTGGCCCAGGGAGGCCGAGACAGGCCCCTCGCAGCCTGCTGGGCCTTCGGTCCCATTGTGACTCCACACCTGCATTTTCACTTCGTATGGTCACGTCTCTACTTTTCAGCCGACGTGCCCTGCATTGCTTAGACGCTTCCCAAAGCCTTTCCCACTGTGGTCAGTGAAGCGCTTCCTCCTGTTTCCTTGCATGTCCACACGCAGTCCCAACCCTTCTGTAGCTGACTTCAGCGGGGAGGCTTCATGCCCACCATCTTTACAGGGTCAGGCCTGGCCCTGCCCTCTGCACATCTAGGCTGATTGGGCTCCACCTGGCACCTGCTGGGGCTGTGTTGCAGGGCCACCCAGTAGTCCCCACCAAGAACCAGGTGGAGGCAAGAGGGGAGAGAAGAAAGGACGGCAGGTCAGAGTGGAACTCAGGTAGCTGGGTCGCTGAGCTGATGGTCAGGCGGCTGAGCCATCAAAGGCCCCTCAGAGGAAGAGGTGGGCACTGCGGGCTGGCTCTCTGGGAAGCCGGGTCCCTCGGGTCCGTGGTTACTGGGGCTGCGTTTATCATCTCCTGGCTCACTGTGGTCCCCCACCGTCTGTGGGCCCAGTGTTCCCACAGACCAGGGCCTGCACAGACCACGGGGAGGGCCAGGGCGAGGGTGCAGACCAGGGGAGGCTGTGCCTGGCTCCGTCTGCCTGAGGGGTGACGAGGGAGGTGCTGGCACCGTCCCCATCACCTGCCCCTGGGCTCAGCCTGCTTCATGTCTGGCTCCTGCAGGGTCCTTGAAGCCCCCGCTGAGGCAGCAGCCCTGCCAGGGACCTGTGCACCTTCTGCAGCCCTGACACAGATGTCTCCCCAGTCCTGCCCACCCCAGTGACTTCCCCAGTGCCCCTGCCCAGGGCCCGGCACCTTCCCAAGCCACTCAGGGCCGTGGCTCATCAGGAGGACCTCAGGACAGCACCCCTTTGTGCTTGGGGTCTGACCACTGTTGGAACCAATGTCTCCCCAGCTGCCCCCATGGCTCCCCCTCCTAGCAGGGCCCCCAGGGAGCCATCGCCAGGCCCCTAAAGACTCGACCAAGCCCAGAGTGGTGCAGAAGGTCTTTATTTAGAGACAGGAGGGATGTGGGTGGGGACGGTGGCTGCATGGGAAGGGTGG